GTGAAATGTCAATAAACACACTCTGGCACCAGCCATAGACCAGGGATATCCTGGAAGGACTGGGACACAGGCTCATCCTATATACTGCTGAAGCTGAAAGAGCAAACAGAAGCTAATTCATTACATTACAACTCAGATCAGAAATCTGGAGGCAAGGACAAAACATACTATTTTAGAAAAAAAAAAAAAAATTCTGAAAGCAAGAGTATCTGAGCCAGGTCATGGGATGGATTTCTTATAAGGAAACCCTTATAACTGATACAAACTTCTGTGTGTGGATGCGTTTTGGTTTTTTTTCCCCCCTGAGGGGGCGGGGTCATTGTTTCTATCATACTTTTAATGGTGTGTGTAATCTGTAAGACTTAATAGCCATTTTTAAAGCATCATTTCTAGTTTATTGTTTCTTACTGAGATTTATTTTGTAGGGTCTGGGGACTCTCCAAAGTCATGTGGTAACAATGACATCTTAAAAGGTACCCAAATTTCAATACCTCATATCAATTTAAGGTCAGGGATGCCAATTCTAGACAATGCTAACTCCAGACATTTGTGGGGGGGGGGGATCTGCCTCCTTCTCCTGAATTATCTGCTTTACTAATTCCATGCATAGGGATATTTTTTAAGGGTCAGTATTTCAAAACCATTCCATTTCACTACCTACAACATAAAATCGTAGTTTCCTTTAAAGGCTTCCTCTTACCAATTTATTCCTTAGTGAATAAGGTGGAAATGATATGAGGTACTAAGATTATATGTGGCATTAACGCAAAGCAAAAATGTTGCCTAAAGCATGTTTTATATAACGGCAAATAAAAATGCTAAACAAAAACAAAAACAAAAACAAAAACAAAAAACAAAAAAAAAAACCCATCACCTGCTGGATCTTGTACTTTAACCTCCTCCGCTTCAAGTAGGAGCCCTGATTATAATCCCAAGCTTCCAACTGGACGACACACGAGCTGCACTTCCAGTGGATTTCACTATCCTCCTTCCAGTGAAACAGCCTCCTGGGTGAGGGGCTCCCACATGATGTAACCTTGGAAGGGAGAGGAGGGGCAGGAGGGGAAAATCTCCGATGACCGGTTTCAAGTTCAAATTCTTTACAGACGGCCTGAAACTGTGGTCAGCTTTCCGCTGTAAGCAACACACAAGGTTTACTTTCTTTCCTGACTTTCCTGCTGCCAGAGTACACATGTACTTTTACTTTCTTAGGAGAAAATGTGTCATTTGATTTCCTTCCAGTTTATGTACTCGTGCCAACAACTAAAATGCTTAAAGAACCAAAATGAATTACTACCCAGAAACGGTGGTCAAAGTTCCAAAATTCGATCAATAAAATTGCTCATCTACTCACAAATTAATCTTCAGCCAGTAAAGTTACACATTTTCGAGGTTATGAGCACACCTGCACCGTTAAGCATTTATTTCACTTGTTTAAGCAATCTTCAGAAGCATATAAATATTTATAAAAGCAAGCCTACTATTTTTACCCACATATAATTTTCTTTTTCTGCAGCAAAACCTTGTTAATTCTTTTACAACTCATAAGCCTCCTGAAGGCAGGGTCTATACCCCTGGCAGTTTCATGTAGCTAAGTGTTAGCGGGATACCCTGAGCGTGGAGGCTGACCCAGAAATGCTCACCGCGTCACATTGAATAAATTCAGATCCTCCTGATTATGAATTTACAATGGGGCCAATTTTCAGTTTTCATTTGGATCATTCATAAAAAAGTTGCAAGGCAACTCGAGAGACTAAAGGAGGGGCGATTTAGGTTACTAAGTTGAACATTTTTTAAGAACTTCAAAAGCAATATCTATACCCAATTAATGTCTGTATTTTGTAAACCACACGTCGCCCAAGAATGTGGCCAGCTCAGGTTGACTTCTGCATGTGTATCTGGAGAGAGCGTTTCTCTCTTATTTACTCTCGTCTTCCTGAAATTAGTCCAAATTGCTGATGTTCGACTACATTTTGTGATCTCTATCGAGTAACCACTGAGAGCCTCCTCTAACTTTCCATTCTCTTTTGTTTGTTATCATCAGCCTGTGAAACTGGAGAACGCTGCCAAACATAAAGCAGGGAAGTGTGAGATATGCCTAAAATATAAGTCACAGTATATTTGAGGATTTGGGTTTCTTTCTTTCTTTCTTCCTTTTTTTTTTTTTTTCCTCAAGCAATCAGCAGATCAAATTCTTCTTCCCTGTCAAGCCTTCCTTTATGCGGAAGATCTGAAATTTGCTAAAATAGGTCTCTCAATGTGGTTATAAAGGGTATGAAGAACAGAGATGAACACTGTTAAGGTTATAGGAGTTCCCTTTCGTTTCAGAGCCACACTGGCTGAGATGTTCCCAGCGAGGACACAGAATGGCAAGATCTCTTTCAATGTGAAGGTTATTCCTTCTGTGAATCACCGAGTCTCTGTACGTATTTTTATAAGGAGGTAGTACACCACGCGACCTAGGTTAGTAATTTCTCCCCTCTGTTCGTGGAAGGCCAGCCAACCTAAGAAAGCCTGCTGAATCGTATGACCCTACCAGGCAGCTGGCAAGACGCGGTCTATGACGCACATGACGGATGCACGCACACGCACAGGCATATACGCAGCCACACGCACACACAACCAGTCAACCAACTCTTCATTTCCACCCCCCCAATCAACTCTTGAACCTGGTCTAAATTCCACGCTTGTCAACTCTCCGACGGAGGGCTAGGAAGGCACTCAAAACATCTTATTTAGCAAAACCAGAATTCAAGATGGCCCCCCTCGCCCTGCACTTTCTATACAGACTGAAGAGCTCAGCAGAATGTGTTAGGTTGGTTTTGACACTGTCTTTGCCAAGAAAAATGAAGCTTTCTGTATCATACTCTTCTGGTGGCTAAAAACCTTATAACGGGCAAGAAAATGAGCCCTCAGAAGGAAATCCCCTGAAACTTTACTTCGTATATTTAGCCCTAAAGCAACTTCGTTCATCTTGGAAAAGAAGTTACCTAAAAATGCCATATGTCTTTAAAAAGCAAGTATGAGGGAATATAAGTCTAGTATAAAAAAATTACATATGATATTCAATACTGCAGAGCAGTGCATCAGACAGATTGTGTATGTGTGTACTTTTTAAAATTATCCCTAACCGAAGCTCTACTACGTGTGAGAGTCCCACCTCCCCCCAATAATATATTGTCATTTTTCCAATGCACTTGAAGTCTGATAAATTCAAGAGGACTCATGGTATTTTTAAGGCTGTTAGAGCTCCAAGAGGGAGGCAAAAAGAATGGACAGTCATTTGAATCACTGAGTGACAGGCTGGGCTAGTTCCCTGTATACATTAATAAATTAGAATTTTAATTGTGTCTCTGTCTGCAGGAGATGCCCCAACACTTTAATATGTACCAACAATTGGCTATGTTCTGGAATCTGCAATGTGGCCTCCGCAGCTGACCTCTGAAACACAATTCCCAGTCTGACTACGGAAACTGTTCAGTTTGATCCTTTCAACTTATTTGAATCCTGACAAATAAGCTCACAGCTGAAAGGTCAACCCAGTCATATTTCATCCTCCAGCGCTGTTCTTAAGACATCTGCACAACAAAGCACTTCTTATAGCACCTGACATGGGACCTCAATGGCCCTGTACCTCATTAAAAATGTCCCCAGCATTCACACACGTGAAAAGGCCTAGGGATTGGTGATGATGGTTTACCAAGTAACTAACTGGTTTTGAAGGTGTTAGTCAACAATACACACTGTCACCCAACTGTTCCCATAGAGGGTTACTTTAGTGCCAAACTTGACCTAGATAGTGACGGCTTCCCGAGCAGATGTAGAAGAACTAGGACTTCTCCCCAAACGTCAGTTAGATCTTTGCAGGATAATTTGGGAACTGGTGTTGGTTCACTCTGATCTGAGAAAAGTCAACACAAGCTGGAATTTGGGTTGACCTCATGGTCACAGTCACTGGTGCCAAGTTATACCCAACAGCTACCATCTACAAGTTCTGTCCCCAAATGTCCAGTGTGAGAAACTCCTCTTCACTTCCTGCTTTGAGGCTGCCCACTCTGAGCTACATACGCAGTTGAATCACGTCGGACCTGCAAGTGCCCTGCCTCCGGTGTGGGCACGAACAGCCTCCATCAAGTTTCTTTGAAATTTCTATGCCACTTTTCTACTCCGAGTCAAAAATCCAAATTAGATTTTTTATGAACTCCCTTTTTCTACACCGTTAGCCCCTGCCCTCAATAGGGCTGAAATCAGAAGTTGCTAAAACTCTTTTGATATCTTTACATGAAAATCACCTGCCATTTGTCATTAGTGATCGAGAAGTATTCTGAAAATATCTGCTAAAGAACAAAATACGTATTACATTGATGACTAGGTAAATTAAAAGTACCGTATCTTCCTCAGTCCTCTTAGCAGTTCTTGACACAACTGACACTTTGGGATGAATGGTTCTGTGCTGTGGGGAATCTCCCCGTACAGTGTACGATCAATTAAGTAACATCCTTGACCCCTACTTATTAGGTGTCAGGAGCACCAATGTCCCCCGTGGGTCAACCAAAAATTATCTCTAGACATTGCTCTCTGTCCCTTGGTGGAGGGTGAGGGGGGGCCAGTAAAATCTCCCCCAGTTGAAAACCACTGCACTAAAGTTATGGGTGTGGGTATCATGTTTCCAGCCCCACCATGAGAGAAGGAAGTGACTTATCTTGAGTACCGGGAACTTTTTCTTCTTGGTCTACATGGTCCCTGATAAGCAACCCACACCTGCAAAACTCTTCTTCCTATTACAGCAACTCATTAGAAGATCTCCTCAACCACCACACTCTTGGTTGAATAGACATTATTTTCCAAAATGTCATCCTCTGCTGGCAAACTAAAAAAATGCACCTTCTGCAGAAGATCGTCATACGTGATTTGCAACTCCCAACACAATCTACTTCTGAATGGCGTATCAGCTCTCCCAAAGTGTATAATGTCAATTTTTTTCAAAAAAGAATTATCACCTGAAGGGCTGGTTGTTTGTCATTCCTCTTGGGAGATTTTAATCCACTAACTTGCTGCTGTTGTTGCTGCTGAAGGAGAAGCTGTCTGGCCACTTGAAGTGCCTGGAAGGAAAAATGGAAGAAACACGTTGGTGTGAGTCGCCGTGTTCGGAGCTTCCTTCACATAAAGGATTCCAGGAAGTACACTTGAGGATGGGATCCTGACTTTCGCATTTCCAGGCCAATCAAACAGCCCACAAAACTTCCCAGCAGTCTAAGCTGGGGAACTTTTCACATTTGGTTTACATTTTCTTAGATGGAGTCAGTGGTACAGCCAGTTCCTTAGACACAGCAATCCACCCAGGCCGATGTGCTATTCCTGCCATCAGTGTGACATAACTGGGACCATGAATGACTGGCACCCTGAGGAAGGAAAGCAGAGCAGCGAGGAAAGACCTGGACAGAAGGCACAGATTTAGGAGATGACAATGGGGCTTTTTTGGGAGGCAGCTTCATTCTACAAATTGTTGGGGGAACTTAAGAGCTCGAGTCAAAAGGAAGTAAGACTTTGACCTCTTCTGAGCCGAGATAAAGAGGAGAAGCTCAATGGTGAAACACACTATGGATAAAGGTATGTGAGAAGGAAAATCAAATAAGGTAAGATACACTCAGGGTGACCTGAAGAGACTATCTAAGAGAAAAAAAAAAAAGTAGCAAATGGGACCTCTAGGTCAATTCAAAAGATACATTATGCACCTGTGAACAAAACGGATCATGCCTAATAAAGAATGATACTTTGAAGCTCGTAACATAGGTGGTTTTTATTTAAAGGCAGAAACTAGAGCAGTAATATGAACTGGGGGTAAAGCAAAAGGTAAACAGCAGAGTCCTCCCAAGTTCAGAAAACTGACTGACCAATCTTTTTTAAACGTTCAAGTAAAAAAAAAAAAAAAAAAGTGTAATCAAAAAGTGTCATCAAGAAACCCTCATGAGAACATTTACTGTCAAAGAATTTAACAGAAATAATGCCACACCTCTCTAAAGAGGGCAGCCGGATCAGCAACAGAAGACTGAAGTTTGCAGACAGTGTGCTAGAAAATCACATGAGAAGTTACACTATTTGAGTTAATTTGGCTGAGAACCAAGAATGTTCATGTGGAAGAGATGTCAAGACTGTTCATTTAATGACGTGCTTAGAGTTTAGAGACAGAATGGGATTTCTTGGGGATTGCATCAATAACAATTTCTACATAGTAACTAATTATTGGTGCCTCAAAGAAGATGCACCAGTAGATGTGGTCACCACAGCCAAAGGATCTGACGCTAGAAATCTCTGAAAGTGTGCATAATGGACATATGATGGTAGTGCATTCCTCAGAGAGAAACAAAGACTTCATTTGCATAAAACACTCAGGTATGTAGTTCCAAAAAATGTCATAGTGACAGCATGGAATGAGGGAAAGGTAGGATGTCCTGGAGGGCCCTGTGCACTGAACTCAGGGGGAACGGAAGAGAGAGTAGTCAAGAAGGACTGTTCATGACAGACACCGAAAAATGTCAGATCCCCAAGGGCAGGGCTTCTGAAAGGACCACTTCACTAACTGAACTCACGACCGTACTACTGTAACAGAGTATTTTCTAGACATTTTGTAAGGTTGAGCGGTGCCTTTGTGCCTAAAAGGCACACAGGGAAGCCATGAAACAGGTGTACGGATAAATGGGTGACAAGGAAGAATCTTAGGAAAGACAGAAACTTCCCGTCCCACCTCCCTAGGACACCCCCCTCCCTTGTCCCAGGGAGGCCTTCTGCCGACTGAACTCAACCACCACCAGCCCTTCAGATGTAACGTACAGGCTAGCTCATCTGTGAAGGGAGAGACATGTTTGAGAAAGCCTGCCTAGAAGAGCCTCCAGAAGAGAGGCTGTCTGAGAGGGGCATCTGGAAGCCAAGACGCCTGGGAGAGCTGCCCGAGACTCCAGCCTGCTGTCTCCGAGGAGGATTCACCATCACTGGACTCCGGGTTTCCTTGTCTCCTTGGAGACGCTCAGTACATGCGTAGGTGTAAAAGTGGGCAGAGTGAAGATTTCATTTATATCCTATAAGAAAAATAGTCCCCTTTGCAAGGTGCCTGCAGGAGCAAAAGCCTTTCCTCCTACTATATATGTTCTCTTGACTACTTCACATGAGGGTTTTACGGCTCTTTAATGCAGGGAAGGGAACAGCTACACAGTGCAGGGGCTTGCTTCAGAGTTCCCGGAGTAATGAGCGCATGAACAAGGAAGGGTCTGGCTGCTGCCTGGGAGGGCAGGCAGAGGGACGGTAGATGACAAGGAAAAGAGTACGGAGGAAGACAGGGTGGGGAAGAGGAAAAGGTCGGGACATTTGATATTGGAACAGAACAAACAAAGCAAGGCAAAGGGATGCAAATCCCATAGTCACCAACCTTCGTGAAAATTATTTACTGGGCGTCCCCAAGTATTTGGAGAACAGGTACTCAGTCTTTAAATAACCAAGTCTCAGAGAATCTGTGCACTGAACTCGTTTTGGCAAAAGGGATGGTATTTAGTGTCTTTGTAAAAAACATACACACACACCACACAAAACTATTCTTATGTTCTCCTAAGTCTACTCGAGCAAAAGAAAGTATAGGACTCTGGGGCGCCTGGGTGTCTCACTGGGTTAAAGCCTCTGCCTCTGGCTCGGGGCGTGAACTTGGGGCCCTAGGATCGAGCCCCGCATCAGGCTCTCTGCTCAGCAGGGAGCCCGCTTCCCTCTCTCTCTCTCCCTACCTGCCTCTCTGCCCACTTCTGGTCTCTGTCAAATAAATAAATAAAATCTTAAAAAAAAAAAAAAAAAGAAAGTATAGGACTCAAACCTAAGTTTTCAACCAATGCTGGCTCTATAACATTTCAAAATTGGCTAGTGAAATCCTTGCGATTATTTTCCTGGTTTTAGGGGGGGAAAAAATCACGTACGTGTACAACATCTTTTTTTAGACCCAACGTGGAGCACATGAACTTAAATAATCATGTAATGAACTCCAGCTACCTTACAGCATTTCATACCGAGCCCTGCTGAAGATGATAATCAACAAGACAGCAACTCAGGGTAGAAAAGGCTTAGGAACTTGTATGAATACAGGTGATTTTTCGGTCAAACTACACAAGAGAGAAGAATACAAGATGGACATATGTGCAAACTGGCTTCCAAATTTTATTCTCAAAATGAATGTAAATATGCAAAATAATTTTAAATATCTGGGATGGAGAGGTAATACTAGTATAAATTATTCCCCTTGATCTGAATTGTCATGGATTGCTTCACAACAATTCCCTGACCTTATCCTGATTATGCGAACCAAGTTGGAGCAAAGTATTAAACCTATCCTCCCCTACCCCCAAATCAACGGAGGTCTCAGCAAGCACAGTAAAAGATCATTTATTAGAACTTATAAAGTGCTGTGAAATCAACCACCAAAGGACATTTGCTTTTCTGATTTCCAGTATATGTAAAGCACTGTGATCTAGATTTTAAATTGTCTTAAAAAAGAAAAGAACATAAATCCTTAGTGTACTAGACTACGCATTTGAGCATTATCATGATAATAGGAGCTGTATTATGTAATTTATAATACGAATCTCTGGTATTATTGGAAAGTCAAGAGTGTTTGATCTCCTGTTCATTGTTGGTCAGTGCCAAATCTGAAATGACTGATGGGACCCTCTTTGGAAACTGCACCATGAGTTACCCATACGAGCTTACTTGACAGCCAGCCTTAGAGATATGTTCCAGTACAACTAAAGAGGGAGGAAGAACATTTCTTATTTTTATAATGATATCTCAATCACATATGAAGAGAAGTTATGATAGCCTATTTGAAGAAAAACGAGATCCTTTGGATACAGAATAAAAAGATGCATGGATATGTGTTTGTGCATGTATGAGGGAAAAGAAAAGAGGGCTGGTGTGGGGTGGGGAGAGAAAGAGAAAGGATATGAATAAATGAAAGAATTTATCTCTTAAGAAGCAAAGATCAACTCTGACTCCAGTTCCAGACCAATTGCTAATATAAATAACTAAAAGGTCCCATCCCATCTCTGGAGACCTTTCACTATTGATGGCGGTTCCTGGGCTGGGTTGAGTCAACACTTCCTTTATAACAGATGTGACAATTGCTTGGCACTGGACAACTTGGTGCTGTATTGAGTGCTAGGCTCAGGTTACAAGAAAGACGTAGTTTGAAGATGTCATAGAAAGGGGGTGACTGATAAAACCAGGGACTTAAAGCCCAGATGCACACACTCACATCTATTTTCCTTCAACGGATAAAATAAATGGCTCTGTGAGCCAACAGAGGAAGGGGATGGAAGGCGTGCGTGTACTCTCTTTATCTGTGAACTTGCCAGCCTCCCTCTCTGCCTTGGCTATTACCTATGCCACAGTCGGCGCAAGGGGTCAAAGTTGCCTTATGATCAAGTCTCCGTGGGCCACAACCAGCTCGGAGTACTCAAGAGTCCGGGAGTGTCCTTGGTTGCTGGTTTGGCAAGTCATGCACCTATGCTAACTGGGGCCTAGGCATTTCTGATACACCATCAATTCTACGGGTTCAAAATTATGTCATTCTCTTGAGGGCCTTCACCTTCTTGGTAAGTACCAACTGTCATTTACAAGATACGCTTCACACAAGCATCTTTACAACTTTTGAGCTATTTATAGCTGAAGTTCAGAGCAGGCGTTTATACGGAAGGGGCCAGGTATCCCTATGTTCAGCATGTTTATTAAGGCAGCCAATGTTCAAAAACATGTTTACCATATTTTAAGAAAGAGCAATAACTTTATATAAAATATGATTGGAATAAGCACACACATATACTTAAAGCAAACTGGCAGAAAGAGAAAAACTTCACGTAAGTCTTTTTACACACTTGGTGGTGAGGCCTGAGAAAAGCACTGATACTTGGAGGTCCTCAAAAAAATATGACGAACCGCAGTCCTGGGTCAGCAACCTGTAGCCCATGGACCAAATCCCCACATCAGCTGTTAGTGCTCAGCCCACGAGATGAGAATGGTTTTTACTTATTTAAATAGTTGGGGAAATAATAAAGGGAAGAATATTTGGTGACAT